CCGCCGCGGCCAGCAGGCGAGCGTCCTCGTCGGTGGCCCCGCGCCGCCGTCGGAGCTTGCACGCCCGCTCCAGCAACGCAGCGACGGAAGACCACCATCGCGGGGCGGCGCTGCGGAGCGGCTCGTTCCTGGCGGCAGCGCTGGTCGGGCACTTGACTTCAGCGCGCTGAGCCAGCTGGCTGCGCCGACGCCGCCCGTGCACTGGCTTCCTGTGGTGCTGGCCCACCGCCCTCTCGACGTGCTCGACCCAGTCCGCGTGCCATGCGCTGAGCTGACCGATGTGAGCGCCGCCCGCTGCTGCAGCAGCAGATGCTGCGAGCGGGCCCTTCATCGCCGTCCTCTGCCTGAGGTGGGGCTGCCGTGCTCCTCCAAGCCTCCTCTCCGGTGTCGAAGTTGGCCTGACCTCTCGCCGCCGAGGGCAGGTGCTGCGACGACGTGGGGCTGAATCCCACCGCGCCTGCCCCCGTCCTGGCCGCCAGGGGGCCGCCGCAGCGTTCCTGGCCGCGCCAGTGGGCTAATGAGGCCAAGGCGGGTGGCTCCGACCTGGCGCTGCCGCCTCCTGCGGGGCTGCCAGGAGGGGCGCAGGGGCCCTCGCCGATGACGCCCAGCGCCAGGGGGGCGGCGTCGGAGGGACCTGCGGTGGGGTCGCAGCTGAGCTCGTCCCCGTTCTGGTGGCCCACCTCCAGCTCCTTGTCCAGGTCGTCGAAGGGGTCGGCCTCCTCCTCATCCATCCGCGCAGCGGCCTGCCCAGCAGGGGGCGGCGGCACGGCCCAAGAGTGACCTCCCGCCTCCTCGTCGATGCTGTCTCCACCGTCGTCGCTGCTGGCAGACCCCGGACGAGTAGAGAGCTCATCAACCTCGCGCTCACGCACGTGACTCCCGAAGAGCTGGTCGTGGATGTCCAGCTCCTTCTTCCGCGCAAGGGCGCGGCGCTCGGCGTCGCCGTGGCGACGACCTCGTCGACTGCTGGACGCGACGCCCCTCGGCCTCTGCACCTGCGGCAAGCCCTTGGCGAGCTGCAGCTGCCGCCCCAGCAGGGTGTCGTGGCCCGAGCGCAGCTCGACCACGAGACCACCGCGCGTGCCCCACGGTGCCGCAGCAGCCCAGATGCCAGCCAGCATCGGGGCGCACGAATCGGAGCAGAGGCCGTGGTCGATGTGCGAGCCCGACGGCCCCGCATCACAGGTGGTGGCCGCGTTCGCCTGGAGCACCCTGGCTCCCACCTGCCGCAGGAAGTCCGCCTTCTGCAGCACTTGGCACGGCAAGTTGAAGTCGCCGAGGACGAACCACGGCGCCTGCAGGGCCTGCAAGAGACCTCCCAGCTTGGCGAAGCGCCGCAAGCTGCTCCCGCTCCACCCGACGCCGCTGATGCCGTAGAAAGTGACGACCACCACCTGGCGCTGGCCCTTGAGGTGGATGGCGCCGGCCTGGAAGCCGTCCGCCGCCTCCGCCCCTGGGGCGGCCAACGAGCTGTCGCAGCTGCCCTCCAGCGTGTGCGTGTAGTGGCCGCGCCTGCGCAGAACTCATTCCCCGCCTTCTGTGCCGCGACCGAGACTGTCGCCGACACCTTCCAGAACGCCCTTCCTGGAGGGCCTCGCGTGATTGGCCGGGATGCGCAGGTCCAGCTTCCTGGCGGCCCAGCGCCGCTTCTCAAATTGACCAGCACGCACATGCGTCTCAACGCAGGCGAACGAGTGAAAGCGCCCCAGCGACTCCTCGACGAACCCGCAAGCCTGCGGACCCACCGCCGTGATATTCGCAAATAATTACCGATGGCCACCACAAACTCTCTCGTCGGAGTCCCTTCCGCTCTTCTCGCCGTCGCCTTCATGAAATGCCCTGTCGGCCTGTCGTCCCTCCTCGCCAGCGCCTGGCGCTGCGGCCGCAGAGGAGGGTCCGCTGGCGGCGAGGCCGAGCCGACCTCGACCCGACCTGCGGCCGCTAGTCAAGCCGTGGCACTGGCCGCCTCGACGCCCTGGCCAGCGCTCCCCAGCGGGGCGGCAGGGGCAGCCGAGCCCGCGGCGGCGGCTGCCCGCGCCGCGCGCGTGGCGGCGAACTTGGCAGCGCTGAGCTTCTTGGCGGCCACGGCGATCGTGCTGCCGCCGTCCGCCTCCGTCGGCGGGGAAGAGGCCTCGCTGACGACCTCCTTCTCCGCGTCGAAACCTCCACCTTCCTCGCGTGGGGGGGAGGTGGAGCCCGTGCGCCGCTTCCTGGTGCTGCGCTGCTGGGCCTCCGCCGACTTGGACGCCGCCAGCTTGGCGCGGATGATCTCGGCCTTGCCCGCCATCTCGGTCTTGGTCTGGATAAGGGACCGCTCCAGGAACTGCAACTCCCCTTGCTCGGCGGGCGAAAAACAAGCCACGTCCGTGAAGACGGCAGGATCCCCGGACAAGTGAAAAGCTCCTCCGAGACACCCGACACCCGCGCCGACTCCGCCGCCTGCCGCGCCACTGCGGCCGCAGCGGCCGCCTTGGACTGCTCGGCCTCCGCCGGGGCGACGGCGAGTTCCGCCTCCTTCGCACGCGCCGCCGCCGGTCCTCGATGCGCAGCACCGAGTCGAGTGCGCCCTGGTGCCGACGTGCTTGTGCAGGCCTGTCGCCTTGCGGAAGACCTCGTCGGGGGGCTTCTCCACCTCGGCAGGCGGCGGTGGAGCAACCAGCCGCTGGACCAGCTGGATGGCCGCCGCAGCCTGGGGCTCCCCGCCCGCCTTCGCAGCCAGGTGCGAAAGGAAGACCGAGAAATCGGAGCCCCCCAGGCTGCTGGAGCCAGCGTCGCTGCTGCCGCCGCCACCGCTGCGGTGCCAGGGGCACGGCTCGACGAGCCTGCCCGAGCGCCGCGCGGCCCCGCGCACAGGAGGACGGCTGTTGCCGCGACGCCGAAACGGCTCCACCTGCGCGCCACAGCGACACTTCCAGCCAGCCTCGCACCAGGTGGCGTTCCAGTGCCAGCTGGCGCACGCCTGACACTTCGTCCAGTCGTCGATGAAGGCCACGCGGCGGGCTGCCCGCGGGATGCTGCCGCCCGTGCCGCCACTGCTCGAGCCGCGTGCCTGCGGCGGGGCAGGCGAGCGCGCGGCAGGCGAGCGCGCAGCCTTGCGGCCCATTGCTGTTCGCTCCGAATCGGTCGGGGAGAGAGACGGCGGCCAACCGCGGTGACCCTCCCGTCACCAAGAACGCCTCGCGAAGGCTCGGAGCTGGCCCGAGGGTGCCGCGCAGGCACGCCCAAGCCAAACGGTTCTTGATGATAGGGTGATGCTGATGATGATGATGATGATGATGATGATGATGATGATGATGATGATGATGATGATGACGATGACGATGACGATGATGATGATGATGATGATGATGATGATGATGATGATGATGATGATGATGATGATGATGATGATGAGGAGGAGGAGGATGAGGAGGAGGAGGAGGAGGATGAGGATGATGAGTGATGAGGATGCTGCGGCTGATGCTGATGCTGATGCTAATGCTGATGCTGATGCTGATGCTGCTGATGCTGCTGCTGCTGATGATGACGACGATGATGCTGCTGCTGATGATGATTATGATGATGATGATGATGATGATGATGATGATGATGATGATGCAGCTGATGATGATGATGATGATGATGATGATGATGATGATGATGATGATGGATGATGATGATGATGGTGATGATGATAGATGATGATGATGATGATGATGATGATGATGATGATTGATGATGATGATGATGATGATGATGATGATGATGATGATGATGATGATGATGATGATGATGATGATGATGATGATGATGATGATGATGATGATGATGATGATGATGATGATGATGATGATGATGATGATGATGATGATGATGATGAGATGATGAGGTCATGACCATGCTCATGGCTGTGGTGGTTGTGATGGTGGTGGAGGTTGTGGTGAGGAGGAGTAGGAGTAGGAGTAGGAGTAGAGTAGAGTAGGAGTAGGAGTAGGAGTAGGAGTAGGAGTAGGAGTAGGAGTAGGTAGGAGTAGGAGTAGGAGTCAAGCTAGCCAGCTCGAGCGAGTCAAGCATGGCATGCCCAGTCCCACCCGCCCTCCCACAACATAAGAAGCAAAGCTGGCACAACTGGGGGCCGAAGTCACACCGGCCAGCCGGTTTGGTACAGCTGATGCGGCCGCGATGGCGGTTGCCGACGGGAACTGGCGAGCGCGTGTTGAATGCCGCGCACGCATTGCCAGACGAGTCGAGAATGGCCCGGTACACCGCAGGAAGCCAGAGGTGGCCGGAGGAAGCCCGACGGTCTGACAGGACACCCCAAAGCATTTTTGTGAAAAAGCATTGGGTTTTTGATGTTTTTATGTTGAAATGCTTGCAAACACACGGTGTTCGGTAGGATTCTGACATGAACGCGCGAGTGTGCTCTTTGTGGTATTTTTTGCACAGGATTCGCGGCCTGGGTGCATGACAGAGCATCGCGAGTGCACCGCGCGATGACGTGAAATCGCTGGATTTGACAGAATTCTTAAGATTCCTATGGTTTTCCTATGATTTCAGCAAGAGAGCCCGGGCGGGAAATTTGTACAATTTTTGTGAAAAAGCATTGGGTTTTTGATGTTTTTATGTTGAAATGCTTGCAAACACACGGTGTTCGGTAGGATTCTGACATGAACGCGCGCGTGTGCTCTTTGTGGTATTTTTTGCAATGGATTATCGCCGTGGACGACAGGACGTCCATGTCGAGAGGAAAAAATAAGAAAAATGTTGATTTTGTATTGTTTTTTACAGGTTAGGATGGGACCACCCGGATGCGGCCCCTATCTGGCCGGCCTGAGGGGGGAGTAGGAGTATATTCTAATAAGGAATAAGGATAGGAGTAGGAGTAGGAGTAGGAGGAGGAGGAGGAGGAGGAGGAGGAGGAGGAGGAGGAGGAGGAGGAGGAGAGGAGGAGGAGGAGGAGGAGGAGGAGGAGGAGACGAGGACCCAGCAAGAGGAGGGCTGGGACTGGCCCTCCCGCGCAGGAGGCGGCTCGCCGCTGCGGCGCCGTTGGCGACGCTGCCGCTGGCCCTGCTCGGCGGCGCGCTGGCGCTGCGGGGCGGCCCCGCGGCGCAGCGCGTGGCGCAGCGCGCGGCGCGCCCGCAGCTCCTGCTGGCGGAGTTCGAGCGGCGCGGCCAGGACGCGGCCGCCCCGCTTCAGGGGCCAGGCTCCAGGTGCCTTCTGTCAGGCTTCGGAGGCCTCCAGAGGCATCCACACCCACGGCCGTCGCGGGCCAGTGCCTTTGGTGCCGTGCCCCCAGGGATGCGGGGTGCCTTCTCGCGGATCCAGGCCGCGAGGGGTACAGTCAGGATGCTGAAGTAAGGACCGTTTTTGGATTCGGAAGGGGCTCGCAGCTCCCGAGGTCATTCCGAGGTTGTTTTTTCTCGCCACCCTCCTCGTGCACCCAGGCGCTGTTGGTGCTAGAAACGGGCTTTGTTCCACATTTCGTGTTCCATGTTTCAGCAGCCTTGCTGCAGGCCTCCTTGAGGGGGTCTAGATAGATGGGGTCGGAGGATCGCGCCGCATCGCCGATGGCCTCGGCGATGTGTCTCGATGTGGAGGGGTACGGCAGTGCGGCGTCGACCTTGGCAACCCGCGCGACCGTCCAGAAGTTGATGATGTTTTCGCCTTTGTTCTTTGGGCATGCAGTCTGTCAGAGGAGGGCGAGTTGAGACAATGGTAGTTGGCATTCGGGGAGCCCCTCCACGGCTGGACGCAGCTCGAACAACTATTGCGTTTGGACACCGGGAGGGGTCCGGGGACCGATTCGCAGTTGCTGCTGTCTCGACTGGCCCTGCTCCGTTTTTTGGTCCTGAGGACACGCAGTCTGGCAAGGTTGGCCAACAATGGGCCGAGCGTAGCCCCAGACGGGACCAGCGTCTGTCCAGGAGCCTCCTCTGGACAGTTACGCTGTGGGCTCTGGGCAAATTTGGACAAGTTCTGGACCACTCTGGTATTGTATTCTTTAGCGTCCCAGGCGGCTCCTAGATTTGACAGGGATAGCCTCGTGTCCTCGAATTTTGCGCAGATAGCCAGGCGCATTGAGAAGGTCCCTCACGTGAGACATCCGCCAGGATGTTGGATCTGGCACCGACGCGGAGTCGGTGGCCGCGGTCGCGCTCGAGCCGTTCACTTGCGGCAAGTATGGATGCCTAGACGTCCGCAGCATGGCCGCCTGCGGTTGCAGCCAGTACTGCCAGGAGGATGGCAATTGCTGCCCCGACTACACGGCAGTGTGCGCGCCGGCCAGGATCCAGCAGGGCCTGGGCGCATGGGGTGGTTGCCCACAAGGTGCGGCTCCTCCCATGCCGCAGGTGCCGGGGTACAGCCCCGTGGGCGAGGCGTTGAGGGTGAAGGTGCTGTCATACAACCCAGAATGGTGGCACGTCATCGAGCAGCTCGGTGGCAACAGCAACAGTGCTGCGCGGCTCATCTCGAGGGGAGAAACACGCTGATCATGACCGTGTCGCGACCATGATCCAATAATGGACGACGACCAGGATGGATGATGACCAAGATCGGTACCGACGTGTCCGCGTTCAGTCTTGGTCATGGTCCCCGTGTTCTTTCCCTCCATCATCTCCCAGGCAGGGCGGACCCAGCCTTTCGACATCATCGGCTTCCAGGAGTTCTACGACCCCTGGTGGGGCCTCGCCAGGCCAGGGCCCCTTTCGATCCGATCGATCCGATTCGATATCGTTTTCGGCTCGTTCGCTCCGATTTGATTTCGATTTCCCGGCGATCCGATGCGGCTCCGTCCTTGCATGGCGCAGGAGGAGGAGGAAAAGTAGGACGAGGAGGGAGGAGGAGGAGGAGGGAGGAGGGAGGAGGGAGGAAGGAGGAGGGAGGTGGGAGGAGGGAGGAAGGGAGGGAGGGAGGGAGAAGGAGGATGAGGAGGAGGAGGAAGAGGAGGAGCGAAGTACAAGGACTGGTCCTCGCGAGACAACTTGAAACACCGTCAACAATCACGCCCTGAGCCCTAGACCCCGCCTTTCTGCGCCATTTTCCACAGCAGATTGTTCTGTGAGGGTCCGGGAGCCCGAAACGGGGCGACACCGCCCGGCTCGAAGAATTCAGATTCGGCACGATTTCCCGAGTCGACTCTGATCAATCCTGCCAGGCCCGGGTACGACGCCTCCGAGCTGCTGCGGGACTACGCCTACGTGCGGGGCGAGCCAGGCGGACCCGTCGGTACGGTCATCGGCTTCCGGAACGCGAGCTGGTCGCTGCTGGGCAAGGGGCAGCGCTTCGTGGCCGAGGACGAGGAGGGCCCCATGTACTTCGGCACCGCGAAGGACAAATATTTCGGATGAGTAAGAGGGACCGATGCCGTGGCCCTAGCCTCGTTTTCGCCGTTTTAGGCCTCCAGGGAGGCCCTTTTCGCCACCTCTGGATTCGCTTCGAAAGTCTGGTCAGAACGAGCCCCAAAGAGTTCTGAGGGAGCTGCGGTATCGGAGTACCGATTCGCTGCCCTAAGAACGGCGACGTCCGAACCCTACCCTCGCCGATTCACGATTCCTGCAACCCGATGGGCGGCGGGGGTAGGGCTCGCAATTCGGCGAACACGTGGGGAAATCCGAATCCTACTACCCCCACTCTCATGGATTCAGCAGAATCGATGGTGAGTGGGTGGTTAGGGTTCGGAAGTCGCCACCTAGACAAGACAGAACGGCGCGAACATAAGCTTTCGGAGCGCCGCGCGGATTTCTTGGATCTGCGCTGGACGTCCATGGCGGCGCCTCCGGCTCCCTCTCTGGCGCGCTCCGCGAGCCAGAGAGTGGGTCCCTGCTCCAGGGACTCCGCGCGGAGCTCTGAAAGCTCGCTTTTTGACGCCCCTCTTTGGTTCTCCAGGCAGGCGCATCGCGCTGTGGGCGCGCCTCTGGCACCGGCAGAGCGGCCACACCGTCTTCTTCATGAACCACCACGGGCCCCTGCCCGTGAACTCGGGGGGCGTGTGCGGAGGTGGCGTCACCGCCCACAACCTGGCGCAGGCAGGGCCCCGAGCGCCAAGATATACGCCTGCCTTGCGATCCCTGTGCGATTTTCAGGAGGAGAAATCATACAGACAGAATTGATCGTCGACTCCCAAGAAAAGGTAGGAACATATGGGACGTGGGGGGAATACGAAAACATAGAAAACATGCGAAAACATGGGGAATCATGGGATTTGTGTTTATTCATTCCCTTTGTCCCTAGGCCCCTTTAGCTTCCTCCGCCTGCCGCGGCGGTGCCATGTGTGACCTGGCCGTCGCGTGGTCGCGAGATACGGGGATCTCCGCTGCCATGTCTTTGTCCTCGCCCTCCCCCACCTCCTCATTCCCATCCATCCTGCTCGGCCTTCTCGATTTGCCCTGGTCCGTCTTGGCCTCGCTCTCGGGGGAGGGTGGGGCCGTCACCACGACCTGGAGGGGGCGGGGGGGCGGGGAGGGGTCAAGGCCGGGGGGGCCAGTTGCGGTGCGCTCCTCTTCGGTTTGGGTCAGGGCCGGGGGGGCCAGTTGTGGTGCGCTCCTCTTCGGCTTCTCCCCCTCCCCTGGTCCAGTTGAGCTACCGGGGAAGGGGGTGGGGGGTCGGGCGGGCCTTGGACCAGGATGATTCGTTCTGGAGCGTTCTGGAGCAATCGGGCCCGGCCACGGCACCCAGACATCCTCCTTTCCTCTTCTCCGAATTCCCGGAAAGGGCTTCAGGCCCAGGGTCCTCTTTTAGAGCGGTTTCCCGTCGGTTTTGACGGGAAGAGGGCCAGCGGATTTCTTTTGCGATAAATAACGAGTGGGAAGAGGGCCAGCGAATTAATATTTGAGGATTTCCCTAGCGAAACGCTTGTTTTTCAGAATTTGTTGAGGATGTCTCGAGCGAAACGCTTGTTTTGTGTTATAGATTGTCCTCTCTTGGGGGCCAGAATTTAGAGGATCTCTCAAGTCAAATGCTTGGTTTCACGTGCCCAGGTCTTGAGGATGTCTCGAGCGAGACGCTTGGTTTCACGCCTCCAGGTTGCCCAGGCAGAGGTCAAGCGCCAGGATTTGTTGAGGATGTCTCGAGCGAGACGCTTGGTTTCACGCGTCCTCGTCGCCCAGGCGGATGTCTAGAATGAGGAGGTGTTGAGGAAGTCTCGATCGAGATGCTTGTTTGCACGTGTCCAGGTTGCCCAGGCGGATGCCTAGCATGAGGATGTGTTGAGAATGTCTCGAGAGATACGCTTGTTTTCACGTGTCCAGGTCGCCCAGGCGGATGTCTAACATGAAGATGTGTTGAGGATGTCTCGAGCGAGACGTTTGCTTTCACGTGTACAGGTCGCCAAGGCGGATGTCTAGAATGAGGAGGTGTTGAAAACGTCTCGAGCGAAACGCTTGTTTTCACGTGCCCAGGTCACCCAGGCGGACGTCTCACATGAAGATGTGTTGAGGATGTCTCGAGCGAACTACTTGTTTTCACGTGTCCAGTTCGCCCAGGCGGATGTCTAGCATGAGAATGTGTTGAGGATGTGTTGAGCGAAACGTTTGTTTTCACGTGTCCAGGTCGCTCAGGCGGATGTCTAGACTGAGGATTTTGACAGGATGTCTCGAGCGAAACGCTTGTCCCCAGCACGTTCCGTAGCGCGTCCCCTTGGCACGATCTACGGTGCGACCGCATGGCACGTCCCCTGGCACGTCGCCTGGCGCGTCCTTTGGGACGTTTCGCGGCGCGTCCTCTTGGCATGTCCCCCTGTCAGTTAGCTCTGGGGCAGCTTCTATGTGTTCAGGCAGCTCGAGCTTAAGATCCAGATCAGTTCGGTCAGGACTCGGATGCAAAGGAAGACTCGATCCACGACGCTATAGAGCACAACCGCGGCATGGCACATCGCAATTCAGCACGGTGCAGCACAGCAGAGTCCTCGGCACGGTACATCAAGATCGATACAATCAGCATCGCATTTGCCCGTCACCCAATCAGGTGTCATTGAAAACGCTGCCATGCGTTACATTTCTATATACGAAAGAGCGTGTTCTACCGCTGCTGGCGGAAAACCGGGGGGGGTCACTACCGGTTCGAACCCCTCCCCCCCCCCCCTCCGGAAAACCGGGGGGGGTCACTACCGGTTCGAACCCCTCCCCCCCCCCCAAGCTCATCATGAAAAGGGGGGGGGGTCACTACCGGTTCGAACCCATCCCCCCCCCCCTCCTCGAAAACCTGGGGGGTCACTACCGGTTCGAACCCCCCCCCCCTCTCGAAAACCGAGTGGGGGTGCGGACAGTGGTGGGGACGGTGTTGGTGGGGACAGTGGTGAGGGGATAGCGGGACAGTGGTGGGGACAGTGGGACAGTGGGACAGTGGTGGGGACGGTAGTGGTGGGGACAGTGGTGGGGACAATGGTGGGAACAGGGGGGGACAGTGGACAGTGGTGGTGACGGTGGTGGTGGGGACAGTGGTGTGGGGACAATGGGAATGAGGTGGAAACAGTGGGACAGTGGAGGGTACAATGGTGGTGGGGACAGTGGTGAAGGCGGTGGCGAGGACGGCGGTGGGACAATGGGACAGAGGTACAGTGGGGACAGTGGTGGGGACAGTGGGGACAGTGGTGGGAACAGTGGGACAGCTCAGTGGGACAGCGGAGGAGTCAGTGGGACAGTGGGGACAGTGGGGATAGTCGGGCAGTGGTTGGGGCCGTGGAGACAGTGGGGAGAGTGGAACCGTGGTGGGAACAGTTCTGGGGACAGCGGGGACAGTGCGACAGTGGTGGGGCACTGGTGGGGACAGTAGGGGCGGTGGTGGAACCAGTGGGGACAGTGGTGGTGAGGACAGTGGTGCTGGGAACACCAGTGGGGGATGTGATGCGGACGGTGGTGGGGACCGGGAGTCGTTTGCTGGCGGTGAGTCGGGGGGGGGGGGGGTTCGATCCGGTAGTGACCCCCTCCAGTTTTCTGGATAGGGGGGGGGGGAGGGTTCGAACCGGTAGTGACCTCCCGGTTTTCCGGATCCGGAGGGGGGGGGGGGGGGAGGGGTTCGAACCGGTAGTGACCCCTTCCGGTTTTCGAGCGGCAGAGGGGGGGGGGGGGAGGGGTTAGGGGAGGGGGGGTTTGCCGGGGGAGAGGGGGGGGGGGGGGGGGGGGGGGTTCCAGCAGGGGGAGGGGGGGATTTTCGGAGGGGGGGGGGGGTGGGCGACCCCCGGGTTCCGGAGGAAAAGGTTGGCAATTTTCCGCAGTAAAGCGGCGGTGGATCACGCTCTCTCCTATATTCCTTTCCGTTCTCGTGGGTCGATCATGTTTTTTTGGACGTCTCGCCTGCGTCCAGACACGCCAGTAACCAGAGACCACGGCGCAGCGGTGGTCGTTTGTTCGTCCGTTCCAGTACATCCTGAAAAACCACTGGATCTCAGACGAGAGCGCGATTCGGGAATAGATTGTGAGGAGGTATCATGCTGGAGCCACTGTTGTTGAAAATGCGGGGGGGGCTAGGGGCACAGTTTGGTGACACCTCGCCTTCCCTTGTAAAAATCAGGGTAAACCCCCAGGAGAAGCACTTACATTGAAACATGCACATGTTACCTGAGAAGGGGGGATCAGCAATAAGGAGCAACGCGTATCCTTTAGGCATGGGAACTCAACAGCAGCAGCAACAACAGCAATAGCAACACCAACAACAGCAACAACAACAATACTTATTTCAAGCCTATTCGCTCTCATCTGCTCGCGTTGCATTCAACACGTATATCCCAAACCCTCGGTACCCACCCTCTCCGTCTTCCATCGTGCCCCCTTGGTGGTATACCGGTATATCTTCCTTACCTGCCGCATGAACTTGGTGCAGCCCCTGAAGCAGGGGAAGAGGGGGCGCATGGATGGGGGAGGGAGACGAATGAAGCACGGAATTATCGGGAGGGGGGCTTGGAGCAAAAAACACGTGGCATATCCAGACGGGCGGATCGGGCGGGCAGACCCTCGCGGGCGGGTGGGGAAGGCGGGCCCAGGCGGCCAGGTCGAGCAGGCGGGATGCTGAAAAACGTGCGTTCTGCATGAATCGCGAGGAAGTCTCGAGCGATAGTGCGATTCCCCATGTAAATCGTTAGAAATCTTCAGCGGGAGCGTGATTCCTGAGTGTCGAGGGCGCGGCGTCTGAATATATTGCGAGGAAGTCCCACGCGAGCGCGCGATTCTTGCATGCATTGTGAGGAAGTCCCGCGCGAGTGCGCGATTCTTTAAAAACTTATGAGCAAGTATCAGGCGGGAGCCGTTCTTGAATATTGATTTGTAGAGAATATTATGTAAGGGCTTCGCCCCCTGCCGCCAGCCCCCTGTCTATCACAATGGGATATAACAGAGTCGCGTCGGTGCGTTTCGGCGCAGCATGCGGGGGCGGACAGGAATCATCAGCGCATATTGAAACGTTGGCGTTATCGAAGACGCCTACGGCGAATCACCGCCGCCCCCTGCCTTTCTGGAACCGCCTATGTGGCAGAACATTGGGTTAAAGCTTGGCCAAGCTATCGGACCATGCGTTCCCCGAGTCGATTTGGAAAGTCTTCGGGGAACACGTGGGAGAGGATGAAGAGGAGGAGGGGGAGGAAAAAAGAGGGAGGAGGAGTCTTCTTGAGAGCCTCTTGAGGCACTCTCGGAAGGCCGAAACGAAGCAAATGCCAGAATCCTTCAAACACCTTCTGGAAAACAGATGATCTTGGCTTCTGCGGGCCCTCGTTGAGGACCTCTTGGGGGCCTCGTGGGCCGTATTGGAGGCATCTTGGACCCTCGTGGACCGTCTTGGAGGCCATCTTGGACCATCTTAGGCGGACTTGGAAGCCATCTTGGGCCATTTTGCCCGTCTTGGAGGCATCTTGGAGTCAATTTGGGGCCATCTTGGGCATGAAAGGCATT